GCGTGGGGATGGTGGGGGGCAAGCTGGGGGGTGGCCTCGCCCCAGGCAATCTACCGGTGTCTCTTGGGCAAAAGGGTCACCCCAGCCTGGTCCCGTGCCTGCTGGTGGCAGGTTGCCCAGTGGGACGTCTGACTGGGGCCACCGCAGTCGCCGGGAGCGAGAGGTCCCGTGCCGGATGCTCAGGCGCCTTGCTGACGTCCCAGGACTTGGGGTTTCTTTCTGCCCCGACGCCCTTGGAGATTGCGTCAGCCTTGGGGTGGGATGGGGATGCTTGGCCCTGGTGTTACCCCACCCCGGGCTGCTCCTGCCCACCACAGGCCTGGAGGTGGCTGGGAAGCTCCTCAGGTCTCTCCTTGCCGGGGAGTTGTGCTCTCCAGCCTAGGTCACCCCAGCCTGGCCCAACGCCTAGCTTCTGCCTTGGACGGAAGCCCAAGGAGCTGTGTTTGGATAAATGGGAAGATATGGGGTCATAGTGTTTAAAAATTCTGGAGTCAGGGGCTGTCATCTCCAGCACGTGTCCAGAACCACTGTGCACAGCTGGCTGGGCCCGTGGCCAGGGCTGCAAGTGTTGGGGCCATGGTGGGAGCAACCTGCTGAGGAAGCAGGACTTGGGGCCATCTTCTCAATTGCTGTTTCCTTTCCCTGCAGAGCTCCCGGAGGACTGCCACCAGCTCTTCCTGGCCGGACAGCAAAGCAGCGGTATTTTCCAGGTGCAGCCTGCAGGGTCTCAGCCCTTCAAAGTCTACTGTGACATGACCATAGGTAAAGCGGTGGAGATGTCCTGCAGCGCTTTGCATGGTGGTCTTGCAAATGGTAATCCCAAAATGACATTGTTTTCCCTGCCCGCAGAAGGTGGCTGGACGGTGATTCAGAGGCGCACAGATGGTTCTGTGGACTTTGACCAGCTTTGGGATGCCTACAAGAATGGCTTTGGAGACCTTCGTGGTAGGTGGATGCCAGTGTCTATCTTCTTATTGTGGAATAAGTGATATCTTAGCACAAGTTATTCCCTCCTGCTGGCCCCTTGAGATCTCTGTGCCAGAGCGCAGTGTTGGGCTGAGAGAGGGTGGACGCTGCTTGCAGAGCAGGAGCCCTTGGTCTTCCTGACTTGTCCTGCCCATGCCAGACAGGGATTCAAATGCTGCAGTGTCCCTGCTTGTTTCTGGAGCCTGTTCCTGTGTCTGCTTTGCATGGCATGTTTGTGTCCCCAGAGCCAATGCAATGTGTCTTGTTTCAGGTGACTTCTGGCTGGGCCTGGAGAAGATACATCACCTTGTCCAAGAGGGAAGATACAATCTCCTGATTGAGCTGGAAGACTGGGAGGGAAATTCCCAAGTGGTTCAGTTTGTCTTCAGCCTTGGTGATGAGAGCACAGCCTACACGCTCAACCTGTTGGGACCTCTGTCTGGAGAACTGGAAAACGCTATTGGGGACTTCAGGCAGCTGCCCTTCTCCACTCGGGATCGTGACCATGACCTCAAAGCTGACACAAACTGTGCCAAACACCTCTCAGGTCAGTACGAGCTCTTCCTTCCCAGTGGCGCGTGCTTTCCCTTCAGCCCTCCGCTGTCTGGTGGTGACCGTGAGTGGGACAGTGACCCTGCAGGACAAGACCCTTTTGGTGTTGAGCCCGTTTGTCCCCTGCTTCCCCGGGAAAGCTGCATCCTTGGGAGGAGCTGTGCAGGGAATGGGGAGGGAAGCTGAAACCAGGAAGGGTTCATAATTCAGGTCTTGGCCCAAGCATCTGTCTTCCTAACAGCTTTGTTGGCTCCCACCTTGCTTGGAAACCTCTTGAGTGAAGCAGAGGCCAATCCCCAGGCCTGAGATGGGGCTGCTGAAAGAGTTGGAGGGGGTTTTGCATGCAAGAAAGAGCAGCAGGGATTTGCAGATGCGTCCTGAAGTCATATAGGATCTGTGCAAAGGTTTTCCCAGTGCATGGGACTCCTCAACTGTGTATGAGATGGTCTTGTAAGGTCCCGAATCCTGGGAAAACAGGGGCAGCAGCTGCCTTGAACCTGGGTTTGTTTTCTGTCGAAGTGCTGTGGGTTAAACCTGCCTCTGCATTGCCTTGGTAGGTGGCTGGTGGTTCAGCACCTGTGGCCATGCCAACCTCAATGGGAAGTACTTCCGCTCCATCCCCCGCCAGAGGCATGAGCGCAAGCAGGGCATCTTCTGGAAGACATGGAAAGGCAGGTATTACCCACTGAAGTCAACCACCATGAAAATCCAGCCCACAGCACTGGAAGCAGAACCCTAAAGCTGCCACTTGAGACTTGACCTTCTCTGCGGAGCACAGACCTGAGCTCCATCACTTGGTGTTTACAGAAGACATACCCACCCTCCCCGGGAAGTCCCCCGAGGAGCGTTTCTCTTGGTTAGCAGGCCTTTAGTGGCATGACAGAGCTCCTTGCTATAAGTAAAACAGCTCCATGTTGCTGAAACCCCTGGGTGGGATCTCCCAAACCAGAAGAGGAACCACCAGCAGGGAGATCCACCTTCCAGAGCATGCACAAGGATCTGCAAGCCTGCCACGTGTTGCTGTGACAAATTCAAGTTGTCTAGTGCTTTCTGTCCTGTCTGAACACTTCTGTGCTGGTTTTGATGAGCTGGGGCTGGGGGGGAAGGCGAGCACATGAAGGGTTTTGCTACCCTGGACCCAAGTGTTGGGTGCAGAGCCTTGCTGTGTCCTGTCTCTCACTGTTGTTCCCACGTGATGTCCTATGTATCCCCCTGTGAAAGCCCCAGAACCTCCTTCCCACGCTGATGCGGTGGGGCACTGAGCCTCGGGCAGCTCCATCTGCGCAGCCCCCGCTCCGGTGACTTCAGCCTGCTGAGGACGTGGGTTTGGTGGGAAGGCTGAAGGACACTCTGTGCAGAAGGGGCTTCCCTGGCCCCCATGGCTTCCAAGCCCTGTATTTCTGGCTGTGCCGGAATTTGCCCTGAGTTGGGGAAACTGCTTCCAGCTCCAGAAGACAATGGTTGGGATCCTGCAGCCGGTTGTGCGAGGGCCGGATCCTGGAGGGCTGAGTCTTAAGCTCTGCCTGAAGTTGCTGGGGGTGGTGAGGACGAGCTCTAGGACAGCACAGGTACAGAGCAGTGACCTGGGCAGGACCAGCCCTGCTGTAAACCCTCTCTGAAGCCTCGAGGGCTGCCTTCTCCCAAAAGACTCCCCAGACTTTGCAGAGTGAATAGCACCGTCCCACGTGTGTGCCCCAGAACTTGCTCTAAAGGGCCAGGGGACAACAGGGTTTCTCTGCAAGAGCTGCACTGCCTTGGTGGGTGTGTAACCCTGTAGTACAGCACTGCCTCTGCCTTTGGCGTGGGTGGCTGGGGAGAGGTGGGCACAAAACAGGTCCCCAAAAACTCTTTCTGGGCCAAGCTGCCGTCTTGGGGCTTCCCAAGCATCCTGCCCTATTGAAGTCATATTGACTACTGTGCTAGAGCTCCTAGCTGCTAAATATTGTAAATATTGTAGGACATTGGATCTTGTCGATGAATTTCCTGTTTTAATTTGTTTCCATATTTAAATGCAGTGTTAATAATGTAATTTATACACGTTCATACTGGGAAAAAAAAAGCAGCAGTAGTTTATGTATTTTAAACTTTTTTTTTGTACTACAGTATCTTTTCTGAAGATGTCTTTTAATAAAAACAAGCCTGTAACTGTCCTGCCTGGATTATTTGCCTGATAGTTTACCAGTAGAAGATGTGTGGGAGCTATGTTGAGGACTGGATTCAGAAACTTCACTTGTTGGGAGATGAACCTGAGCATTACGCTTCCTTCTGGCCTCAATTGTCAGCTGTAGCCTTATGGAGTGCTCTGAGATAAATCCCTGCTGTAGCCCCCAGCAATAGTTTTTAGTCTATTTGAAGTTTATGGACTTTTAAAATTTCTTTTCCCTCTGGAAATCAGGCCCTGGGGCAGCAGTTCACAAGTGCTGATGAGCTGGCTTTTCTTACTGCCTGACAGCAGACCTTTGCACTAGGAAGATATTCCCTGTAGCTGCCTGGAAAACCCTGAGCCAACTCCTTGAAGGAGAGCAGGGGCCGAGCTCTGAATTATCTGGATGGATTAAAGTCAGAGCTGATCAGGGCGAGCCCCAGGAGCCTTTTACTGGCTCATACCATAGGTGCGTAGTCATCTCCAAAAGCATTTATTGCGACTTCTGGAGAATGATTGCATATGTAGGGATGAAATGAGCTGGGGAGGGAGTGGGAGCCTTGAAGATGATGGGGGTAGAGTCCAGCTGTGCTCATAATCCCATGCATGTGGCCTGATCCTGGAGAAAACAGCAAGTTTTTCTTTAGCTGGTCAAGGAAGGGAGACAAAAATTGCTCATTGCAGAAGGAAGAGACAAGAATAAACATGGCAGTCCCCTAGAGCAGCTGTATAAATACCTGATGTACCTAAATGTGGCCCGAGCTCCTGTGTCTCTCCTTCCCTGGGGAAAAAACCTGGGGTTAATTATAGCCCCAAGCACAATTGCATAAACAGCCCATTACACCTGGCTCTGCGCTATCTATCTGCTCCCTCTTGCATTCAGAAATGCATTTTTAATGTTCCATTTGCTTAATTCAAAGCTTGTTTAGTCTCTGGGTGTGCCAGCGGGTACCGGAGTGCCGTGTTTTAGTCTGGATGCTAAAGCGACTAGACTGCGGTGGGTTTTAGGCATCAGACAGAAACTGGTGAAGGAGCTACGCTGTATTTATTCGTTGCCAGGGTCTTTTTTGGCAGATCTGGGGTTTGCTCCCCAGTGGTGCATTTCATCTTCAGCCCGGAGGATAACGCCAGCCGGGGCAAGGCTAAACGCCCCAAATCTCACCCAGCCCAGGAACTACAGCTGCTGCTTTCTTCTGCGCCTCGGTCTCGCCCTGTTCTGCCGTGCAAGTGCCTGTGTCCCACCAACATCAACACCACCCCGTGCCCCCAGAGCACGGGTCCCACACCGGAGCGTGTCGCGTCCCAGGGCCCTTCCAGGTCCCTCTGTAGAAGCAGTCAGTCCTGGGTCTCCGTTTTCATCTGAAACCTCCCTGGAATGCTCCAGCTCCTTCATTTTTAACAACCGCTTGAGCTGCAGCTTGCCGTTAGCAGCTGGGAGGCCAGCGGAGGATGGGGCAGCTCCCTCCAGCGACAGCGAGACACACGGCACCGTGCGCCGCCGAAAGCACGAATGTCCTTCGGGTTCCGAAACGTCACTGCTCCCCAAAACAGGACATGGCTCCCCATACCGACCGCGACGTGCTGTGCCAACCTGCAGCTCCCGACGTGATGGTCCAACCCAGGGCTTCGAGTCCTCCTGGAAAAAACCTCACCGAGCAGCTGGCGAGAAGGGGTGCTGCTCGACTCGCTCGCTCGGAGGGGCTCTGCCAAAGGCGGTGGCGGGGTCCGAGCTCAGCGCGTGCCGGGCGGCTAAGGGTTGCGGGGTCTGGACGTGGTGGGACAGGGCTTTTTGGGGCCAGAAGCGCTGCGGCACAGTCTGGGGCCGTGGTGCAGCCCGGTGACACAGGGCTGGCGCACGCCTCGGTGTGGAGCTCGGACTCAGCAGCAGATTGATCCGCAGCTGCTCTGGACCTGGGGGTTCCCTCGGAGCATCGTGAGGTCAGGCAGATGTTGCACATCGGGTACTGGCATCCCGACCCAGCTGCGTTCGGTGGCCCCGGAGGGTGAGGAGAGCCCCCACCCGCTGCACAGAGCCCCCTCCAAATCCAACCTG